AGTCCACTCGGCCTTTCAGTTGGCCAAAAATCGTCTTCGTCCCGGTAGCTCTCCAGAGGGCAACTCTGTGGTCTTTCCGGGTATAATCCTTGATCAAACAGGCTCTCACGGAGCCCACTGCCACGGTGAGAAAACGTCTCTTTCGTGCCCTGGGTGTCGAACATAGTCCAATCATCCACAACCCGTACTTCCCATCTGCCCCAGTGCGATGGGGTCGGAGGAGGCCACGGGATGGTTTCGTGTTGAGGGATCGCTCCCCTTACAGCCCCGCTGACCGAGACCGAGCTCGATGATGAGGCGGTAACCGGTATGTCCCCCCGATCACCCGCCTGGGATGGTGGTTTCCCTTCTGCCCTGCTCATGACTTCTGTCAGATTCGAGGTGAGGGGGAAAAGTGCATTCCAATCAAAATGTTAGATCCCCAAGCATGAGAATAGATCCACGTTCAAAAGTAAAGCAAGATTTATTTCAAAGACATGGTTGATCACAACACACAGAAATTGATTGGAATGACGTTTGTCAGCAGTACAGGTATAATAAAGGGATTTTGAACAAGGTTTGGACCAATGGTCCTACTTCCCGCTGGAAACGGGGAGATTAGAAAGGGCGCGAAGTTATATGAGAAAGTAACGCCCGGTTTCCTAAACACAAGTTCCTTTCACACGGGTAAAGCTAAACAAGCATGAGCGCGAAGACATAACTCCCACTTCTCACCAGCTGGCGACCTTGGTTGCAGCAGATGCCTAACAGAGAAAACACTTCAACACAGAAGATGGGGGGGGGGAAGGAAGGGACGTGAGGCGACCCAGCAAAGAGATGGCAGCTCGCTGACAGCACTCCACTTGTCACCAATGCTCCCTCTAAGCTGTGGAGGCTTGTGAGCAAAAATTCTACTTTGTGAGCTGCTGGCCTTAAAGCTGTGAGCAAGTGATCTGGCTGCTGCATCAATGAGTTTGTTCCGGAGCCATGCTTCCTGAGCCGAGACAACAATGTGTGAACCGGAGGCTAAAAAACTGTGAGCTAGCTCACACTAACTCAGCTTAGAGGGAACACTGCTTGTCATTCATCTCCAAGAGGATGAGGAACCATTCACAAGCACTCTTTGGGTGCAATCTGTCAACCAGTTACAGTTCCACCTAATAGTCATAAGATCGAAATCACATTTTACTAATTTGTCAATAAGAATATTATGTCGAACCTTATAAAAAACCTTATTGAAATCAAGATAAACTATGTCTACAGCATTCCCCTGGTCCAGCAAGGTAGTAACTGTCTCAAAAAAAGAGATCAGGTTAGTCTGACATGAATTGTTCTTGAGAAACCCATGCTGGCTCTTAGTAATCACTGCTGTCCTTTCTAAGTGCTCAAGGACTGATTGTTTGATGATCTGTTTTAAAACTCAGTAGTTACCCGGATCCTCCTTTCCCTCTTCTTGAAGATGGGGACATTTCCTATCTTCTGGCACCTCACCTGCTCTCTAAGAATTCTGAAGAGTAATGGACAGAGGGTCAGAAACTACATTTGCAAGTTCTTTTAGATCCCTTGGATGCAGTTCATCTAGCTCCAAAGTCTTAGTTTCATTTAAGGAAATGTTATGTTAGTTTATGTACTACCCCTATGCCAATCCTAGGCATAGGGGTAGTCCTGTTACGATATAAAGTACATTTCTAAAAAAATATACCAGTTCTTACAAGAGAGATATTTGCTTTATAATGGAAGATAGCAGTTCTATTTGCAACAATCATTTCCCCAAGTAGAATATTACATTGTTGTTTAAAATATCCTTGCTCACAGCATATTTTAATTGAATAATTGAACCAGTCATATAATTGAATCAATCATTCTGCCAAGAATGTCCACGGGTGTGGGTTGTGTGTGCGTTAGGATATTTGCTGATTCCTTCTCCGGTTTGAATGGGGCATGCACAATTTTCAAGCTGTTCCTTGGGTCTTCCCTGTATCCCAGGAACAGCATTTTGTTTTGGGGGGATATTTTGGGCTGTAAGAAGGGTGAATCAGTGAAAATTACCCCATCTTTGCACCTGCAGAAACTCTAGATGGATCCAAGCTTTTATATGTTTCCACTGGAGGGTATACAAACAAATTTATTCACAGCAAAAGCCAGCACTCTAATACAGTAGTCAAACTAAATTGCTCAAAATTCATAAAACCACAAGCATAAATAAGATATATAAAACAAAAATATCAAATAGCGTCTGCAAGTAAAACATGTTAAATCTTATAACAAATTACATCTATTCGCTTTTCACTAGCAGTTTTCTAGTCCTTAGCTAACCAGCCAAATTTGGCAAGTTTAGCTGTAACCTCAGGGTGCCTACTTTCTAGGAGGTTCTTCAGTAATTGCATCTTTTGACTAGTTGAAAATAGAGTAGTTGTAGAGAGTAGGAGAATATCACAAAAGTGGCTATATGCCCTGCAGTCATGTATAACATGCATTAAAGTTTCCACTGAATATGCTTGTTCCCTTTTTAGATGACTTGAAGCCTGTGAAATGTCCAGATGGCTGGGTTCCATACTCAGGCCACTGTTACCTCCTTCAAAGAAACCTCAAGTCGTGGAAAGGTGCACTATCATCTTGTCAAAAGGAAGGTGGAGATTTAGCCAGTATCCACAATATTGAAGAGCATAGTTTTGTCATTTCTCAGCTTGGCTACAGTAAGTCTTTGTCTACATCATATTTTTATACAGTAGTGATTTGAGCCAAGGCCTCTCAAGGCCTACCCTAACTGCTACTCACCACTGTTTTAAATACAGCAAATACTTCTACTGTGTTGTTTTCTTCTGGTTTCATACTGACAACAAAGTTTTTGGTACTACAACTCAGTAAATGTTACATAGGCTCCTTCCCATTTGAACCAACAATATAAAAAAAATTATCCTTAGTTCTACTTTTCTAGATTTGTACTGTGAATAAGGTAAATAATCAAAGCAATTGCTTATTCCAGTGGCAAAACTACCAGCACAGCTGAGTCAGAAATGGATTTCGAAGTTAATAACATTTGAGACTGCTTTTCAAACCCCAGTTATTTCTGCCACCCTTAAGAGTGTTTCTGGGGTCTTCAGTGGGCTGGGGGAAAACATTTTGCAGGGAAGATGCATTCTGCCACTCAAGCTCAACCACATCAAATGCAAGGAATGCAATTGGCTATTCCCTATTCCTGGCTAATGCTGCTCAGTTGCAACAATAATGCAAAAGTCCAGCTGTTCACACAATGTTTCATTGCTCAGTTTTGCACCAGCACTCTTTTATAAGCTATGCAAGTTTCACATAAGCATGCCCAGTGGCCTCTCAGCACTGTCATGACCTTCCGCATCAATAGATATGCTGAAGGATCCTGCTCAACACATGAAAATAGTTTCAGGAGGGTGGCCATAATAGTCTGCAATAGGAGAGCTATATTTGAGTCCAGTAACACCTTACCAAGACCAAAGAGATTTGGGGGATATAAGCTTTCAGGAGTCAAAGCTCCCTTCACCAGATATCCTCCTTAGATTATCATTGCAAGGTCTTCTACAGGAGCCTGCCATGTGAATTTCCTGCTTGTCAACCTCCAGGGCAAGGGCATTTTTAGTGGTTGCCCCTTCTCTCTGGATTCAGCTCCCTGGGGAAGTCCGTGCCCTGTGGGATCTTCCAGCATTCTGTAGGGCATGTAAGATTGCTTTGTTTCATGCAGCCTTATGAACCAGAGAGCTTGCCAGTTGTTCTAATTTATCCAAGTAATTAGTTGTTTAATTAGTTTTGTTGCTTTATTTATTGCATTTATTTTTATTGTATTTATATTAATTGTATTTTTTAAATGCTGTCAACTGCCCTGAGTCCTCTGTGGGGAGAGGGTCTGGGTTATAGATTAAATGAAAGAATAATACCCAACATGCCTTTATCTCCTTAGATCCAACAGATATGCTGTGGATAGGACTGAATGCCCAGAAGACTGAGAGGTATTTTGAATGGAGTGATGGGACTCGTGTGACATACACCAAGTGGCAGAGTGGAGAGCCTACTTATCTACAAGACTCCCTGGACAACTGTGTCATCATGAGTGGAGAAGTAAAAATAATGCTGTCTGCTTACAGTAAAAATAAGGCTGTCTTCTTCTCTACCTGCTTACAAAAGATGCATTTCCACTGTGGGGGTTTTGCTGAATGAGTCTGCTGAGCCTTCCCTCTCCCTTTGCAGTTCACCCAATTACTCCTCCACCCATCCCTTAACTCCGGTCTCTTTCTGGCATCAGGGAGATGAGACAACCTGATATCCTATTTTGCTTTGGTCTGAGGGAGCTTGAATACCACCCAGCAGACACCTCCCCCCAGTTTCTTGTCCTGCAAGATGAGACTGTCTCATGGTACCTTCTCTTCCTATGGAAACCGTAGGTCACTGTGTCTCTGCTGGGTCCACCAACATTGGCTTGTGGGGGGAGGCCTCTCCTCTGCCCCCTACTTTTGAAAACAAAGTTTCTGCACCTTTTGACTTAAAATATAAACTTGAAAGTATGTACTGGATGGATGCTGAAATCTCAGAAGCCAGAAAAAGTAACTGAGTGAGATTGCCACTGTTCGGGGTATAGCTTTCTGTGCCTTGAATAACTCTTCCTCTTGTGGTTAGAAGAATCAAAATAAATGATTGCAAAATCAGTAGACTCAGGCCCTGTCCATACATGCCGTTTGGGCCGGGAGAAGGACGGATCTGGGACGGAGCAAACGAGCGTGATCCCACAGCAACATCCGGGGAATGTCGTGCTACCGTCTCCGATCTGTCCCATCCCGCCCATGAAGCGCACCAAAAAAGAACCACCTACCTGGGTGGTTCTTTCGAATGGGCTGCAGCAAGTGCGGCCGTGGGATCGCCGGCATGTCCTTGTGCCGGTGCATCCACAGCTCCTGGCCGAACTGCGCATGTGTGAGCATGCGCAGTTTGCCAGGCTCCCCTTCCCACCGTCGCTTTCTCCCTGGCATCTGATCGTGCCGGGGAGCGACGGCGCCGCGGCTCGGGGGATCCGTGAAATCCTGCCACGGCGTCTCAACTTTGATGCGGCTCAGATTAGCTGCAGTTCGACTGTCCTTTTCCCTGCCGTGTGGCAGAGACCTCAGTTTAGCAAAATGAAAGCATTAATGTCATTTATGAAGGTCACAAGTTACAGTTCATCTGCAGGATTTGGATTGCCTGGATATTGCTACATACAAACTGTGCTAGATATATCTAATTCAACTATGCAGTTTGTACCATGTGTAAATTCTCAAATGTGAATATATTTGCAGATGCTAGCATTTTCTACTTGTTGAAAATTACTTTTCATTCGTATTCATAGACTTGAGATGAACGTTTCAGTTGTTGCTCAGTAGTTCTTTGGTTTGTAGATTTCATGTAAATATACTGGGCAATTCATGCAGTTCTTAATGCAACGAAGGTTGCATTAAGCCGCCCTGTATGGGTAGAAGAAAAAAATCAAGCACTGGGAAATGGAAACAAAGTTCAAATTATAAGGAGCGCTGTGTCCTTCACTGAGAATCATGTCTTCACTCTTCCGTTTCCAGAATGGATATTGGGTGGATACTTTCTGTCAAGAGGAATATGGTTACATCTGTAAAAGAAAAGCTTTGGAAATTCTTTCTGAACCAGAAGATGCTGACCCAGGCTGCCAGAATGTAAGCCAGAAGTAAATTGTTTAGAAGTTTACTAAAACTGGTTAGCCTCACAAAGTTGATGCTTCATCCTCAAATTATGTTGTTTTTGAGAAGATTTCAGCAGTTATCATTCTTAAAGGTTTCAGGCTGGTTTTCCTAACCAAGTACTCCTACCTCTCTATCTAGAAGATGTAGAGAGATTCTGAGAGCACATATTTCTCTCATGGAGGTTGGAGGGGAGACAGAGCAAGGCAGCAGGAGAAGGAAGTAGTTGGAAGGAAGTCCCCGAGAATAGCATTCTGTGTAGACAAAGAAACAACAGCAGAATAGGATGAATATGTAGGAAACTGACGTATCCACCTTACTAGCTCTACTGTCCCCTCTGTAGTACTGATTTGCTTTGTGCAAAAAGACATTGCACAGTCCTTCACATAGCATGTCCAAAGAAGATGACCAAAGAAGTCAAACTAGAATATGTGAACTTAAACTGAAATGATATTGTTTATGTCAAAGGTACAAAAGTCCCTTTCAGATTCATTCATTGTTGAATGACTACGTTGAACTGAATGTATTTTTTAAGGGCTCCTGGTCACACAAAGAGAACCATACAAGCATCTGTCTGCAGGATGTATCAGACTATCAAATACTGGTGTGACAGTCAGGAGTAGGGGCTGTCCCATTGACCTCTTCTGTCTTCCTTCCACTTATTACATTTATTCAGCTCTGAAAAAAGCTTAAATTATTTTGAAATCAGGAAATGAATTTGTTGATCACAGCTATAGAATTTCTTTTAATTCCATCCAGCTGGCAGACTTGTGAAGAAGTTTTTATGGGGATTACTTCACTGTATACCCTTGTAGACTTAGGACATGAGGCTGTATGTGGATAGCATTCCCTATTGATTATTGCACTAACATGAGATCAATAATTGTTTTTTTATTGACAGGGTTGGAAAAGGCATGGATTCTATTGTTACTTAAGTGGAAAAACATTGGGGACATTTCCAGAAGCAAAGAAATTATGTGAAAGAAACAAGGGTTCCCTGGTGTTCATAGAGGACAGGTACTAAAAAGAATGTTCTTTATTCAAGAGCAAAAGGGCATCAAAATGAAAAGAAAGAATCCTGAAGCTGTGGATATGTGGTACACTTAGCACTGGGAGAACCTCATGCAAACAGTTGAGATCTGGGCCCCTCCCTTGATCAGCATAGCGTTTGTAGTCCTCCTTTGCCTTGTCCAAAGTCTTTTGGAGCATGGGCCATCCTTGGGTGATTGTGCACCACCAGGTTTGTGCATCCCTTGGGCCCGGATTTTCTGGGTCCAAGGTTGGGAGGGGGTCTTCCTTCACACCCATGTACTGCCTTGAAAGGAGATACCCCAATAGAGCTATGCACCGAGCTATTGTAACTGTATTCCGCAAAAGGGAGTAAGTATATCCAGTTGTCCTGTTGATGATTTATAAAACACCTCAGGAATTGCTCCAGAACCTGCCTCTGGGTGGTAGCCATGGCTCAGTACCTGTTCCACCCTTAGGAACTTTAAAAGCTCTTTCCAAAATCCTGCAACAAAATCTGGGCCCTGATCTGAAATTATCTTGTGGGGCAAAGCATGGAGCCTGATAATGGGCTGCATAAACATTTGGGCCAATTTCCGGGCTGTGGGCACCTGCTTACATGGGATGAAATGCGCCTGTTTTGAAAACAGGTCCACCACCATCCAGATCATCATTTTCCCTGTCTCAGGGGCAAGTCTGTGACAGTCCATAGATATAATGGACCACAGCGTTTCTGGTGTCTCTAGTGGTTGCAAGAGTCCAAGGGTTTTCCCCACATGCCTTTTGCTCATTAGACACATTTGGCAGGAGGCTACATATTTAGATATGTCCCCCCCCCTCATGCGAGACCACCAACACTGTCTCTGTATGAGATTTAGAGTCCCATTTTATTATCATGTCCCATCAATAGTATTTTCCCCCTTAACAATTCAGCACCAGTCTTCTTTTTGCACCAGTGTCCCCTCCTTCTCAATCTCTTCCTTGTCACTCTCAGAGAAGGCAGATTAGAACTTTAAAAGCTCTTTCCAAAATCCTGCAACAAAATCTGGGCCATGATCCGAAATTATCTTGTGGGGCAAAGCATGGAGCCTGATAATGGGCTGCATAAACATTTGGGCCAATTTCCGGGCTGTGGGCACCTGCTTACATGGGATGAAATGCGCCTGTTTTGAAAACAGGTCCACCACCATCCAGATCATCATTTTCCCTGTCTCAGGGGCAAGTCTGTGACAGTCCATAGATATAATGGACCACAGCGTTTCTGGTGTCTCTAGTGGTTGCAAGAGTCCAAGGGTTTTCCCCACATGCCTTTTGCTCATTACACACATTTGGCAGGAGGCTACATATTTAGATATGTCCCCCCCCCTCATGCGAGACCACCAACACTGTCTCTGTATGAGATTTAGAGTCCCATTTTATTATCATGTCCCATCAATAGTATTTTCCCCCTTAACAATTCAGCACCAGTCTTCTTTTTGCACCAGTGTCCCCTCCTTCTCAATCTCTTCCTTGTCACTCTCAGAGAAGGCAGATTAGAACTTCTCTGCCCAAGGTGATGACTTGGCACAGGCCTCCCCCTTTGTCTGGCTGCATGTCACCACTGCCCCTCCCAATTGGGTGGGCGTGAACATGGTATCCACCATGGTATCCGCCATTCCTCCCATTGACTGTCATGATTGGGTAGGTGGGACAGAGCATCAGCCAGGAAATTTGACTTCCCTGGGAGATGCTTTAGAGTGAGTGCATTTAGGTGCCAAGGGGCTTTTAGGGTTTCCAAGTGTTTACGGTCGGTCCAAACCTCGAACCTCGAACAGAACTGCAATGGTGCTTAGCTGGGAGTACTCTGCTGGTCCCTTGAGACGATCCAGTTGCAAGGGGGGAAAGGTATTACGTGGGAAATCAAGAGAATAAAAGAAAGACAACATCCACATAGAAAACAATACAGATTTTTCCAGGTGGTGCTTTTTAAATTCCTAAGAATCTCAGATTTCTGTTTGCCATTCTGGAAATCATGGTAATGACCCAAAGCAGCAATTTTGGAGTATGTTTTCAGTCTGAGAATTTTGAGATGCACACCCCCTAGTAAAAACCAAAGTAGGTGGCAGTGGGTTGGAGAGGGGCGGCATCTGATAACTCTTTGTGGAGCACATGAGAGAGAATTCCTTTTAACTGCATGACAATGGAATGGATATTGTAACTTATGGAATATATATATATATATGGAGAGAATGCCAAAGTACTGTAATGGAACACTGCGGAAGATTATTGTATGTCACGGAGGCAGGTGGTGAGCCACACAGCCCTTCTCCAGGTGAATAGCAGTTTCAGGGCAGCAGGGGATTACCCACATGAAGTGCACCTGGAAGTAGGAATGCAGTATAAGAGTGGGCGAGGTCTCTGAGGAAGAAGCTAAGCTAGTGAGAAGGAAGCTGAGGTTATTTGTGGAAAGGCAGCAAACTGGTGGGAAGGCAGCACGCTACAGGCCAGGCAACAAGCTTCAAGCAAGACAGACAGCAGAGGCTTGGTGGCTCCAGTTTGGTGTTTTGGGGCTGCCTGATGTCTTGAAGAGATTTCCAATACAGGTTATTGTTGTTTATTTTGTGCTGTATTTTCTGTTCTGAAATTGCTTGTTGGGATCCATTCGAACCATGGGTAACACAAGTACTTCTAAACTAAAGACCTATGAAGTTGTTCCATAGATTTCCTCACCCTTTAGACTACAGCCTTTCAAGTGAGGACCTTGAAGCTTTTAAATATACCCAATATATTTAATTGGGTATAAAAACCACTTGTAGGAGCTGCGGTGGCTCAAGTGGTTAAGATGCTGAACTGCAGGCTGTGGAAGGTCAGTAGTTCAGCAGTTCGAGACCCAGGTGCCGCATGATGGAGTGAGCTCCCATCTCTAGTTCCAGCTCCTGCCAACCTAGCAGTTCGAAAGCAAGAAATTGCAAGTAGATAAATAGGTACCACTTCAGTGGGAAGGTAACAGCGTTCCGTGCACCTTGGTGTTTAGTCATGACCACATGACCACAGAAACGTCTTTGGACAGTGCTGGCTCTTCGGCTTTGAAACGGAGATGAGCACTGCAACCCTAGAGTCGGATTCGACTGGCTTTCAAGCAAGGGAACCTTTACCTTTACCTTTTATACCACTTGTAGCCTTTAAATATATCCAAAAGACTATGGAAGAGAACCTTAAACCAGTGTGGGCCACTTCAGGCTATCAGACTAAACAGTTGTCTTCCCCCTAAAGCAACTAGAGACAGAATGAAAATCACCAACCTACGGAAGAGCTCTCTAAACCTTATCTGAACAAAAATCAGTTGAACTGGTCTTTTTTATTCTACCTTCTCCCCTTTCTTTCTCCCGCCAAAGGTTCCCAGCAGCCTGACTGACCGTTGCTGGCTTTCTCTACCAGACCACCAGGGTACAGAGGGGACTAGCATATATTAAAAGGGCTCTCTATATTAAAAGGCTTGCCTCTAACCATCAGAGGCCGCCTGGCCAAGTGAGGAAGTGGGGAGTACAAAAAGGACAGATGTAAATACAGGACTGGTACTTACAGACTGTGTGTGTAGGCTGAGGGACTGGCAGTTCTATTTGCATATCCTCACCCTCTATATATCAGACCTTTAAGGGGAAGTGTAATCTATTTATCTGTGTAGTCTCTAGTTCACACAAAGAGTAGATATTTCTCTCTGTAGTCTCGAGTTCACATAAAGTTTATAGCAGAGAATGTTTCCTGACACACCCAGCTAGAGCGTGTGTGGATTATCAATTCAGTCTAAATGTTCAGTAAAATCAGCAGAAGGATCATTTTGCCCACACTAATTACCTATTCTGTTCTGCAGATATGAACAAGCTTACCTAACTAGTCTAGTTGGACTACGTCCAGAAAAGTATTTCTGGATTGGCATATCAGAGATAACGGAAGGCTGGACACTCAACTGGACTAATGGACACTCAGTTACATTTAGCCACTGGAACTCAGGGATGCCTGGTGGGTACCTTTGTAGTGAACCTGCTGCAGGGAGTGACACCGACTGGCTGGAGGGCTCATTGGGGAGATGGAGCAAAGTGAGCCACAGTCATTGGGATGGTTACAGTAGAGATGAGAGAATGTGAGGCAGGAAACTGAGAGCTGCTGATAGCTTTTAAAATGGCAGTTTTTGAGAAGAAAGGAGACAAAAAAAGAAGGAGATCCAAGGGAAAGAAAGCTGAGTGGAAAAACAGATGGTGAAGAAAATGAGATTTGAAGAAAGGTCCCCAAGTTTAATATGGTTGAGACAGTGATATAAAACCAGCAGAAATTAAATCCCATTACATCGATATACTCTGGGGGTTTACTTTCTCAAAAAGGGCTTGTCCATTTAAGAAAAATTGGTACAAAATTGGTACAAAAAGTAGCTTAATTCAACTGGCTTTCCCCAAGGTCAAAATCATGGCTGTGTTGCTATGAGAACTGGAACTGCAGCTGGATTATGGGACGTTGTGAGCTGTGAGGAGACGGCGGCATTCATCTGTAAACAATGGGCAGAAGGTGTGACAACAACTCTTGCCCCAACAACAACCCCCCTGCCCCCTTTTTTACTTTAAAAGTTTTACCGTCGTTCTTATTTAAGAATGCAATGTTTATTTTTAAATGATATTTGTTCGTCATCTATGATTTTTCTAGAACTGTCAATGTCTTATGCTTTAAAGTTCTGTAAGGTGCTTTAGGATAGTGGAGGAGGCAGCCCCAGTCAGCAGATTGCTGTAAGCATGAAATGCAATGTCATAAAAAGATAACCCTAGAAGCAAACTCAGGGATTACTGAATCCAAATGTATCTTGACAGAGAACCTCCATATCTAAATTACATCCACTGGCAGCCTCTCTAAGTAATCTCATCTTTGAGAGGAATTCAACATGTTCTATGTAATATTGTTTGATTTAATGCCATGTTTTCTAGAGCTTGGTTCTCTGGGTATAATTTTTTGCTAGACTAAAAATTGGAGACTTAATTTCACATGTGCATTCAAACATACATTTTTTAAAAAAATCTCTCTTGTTTCAGCTAAAGAAAAGCCCAGCTAATGTTGCATCCCAGTGTCCAACTCTCTTTGCCTAATCAGTGAGGACTCGGGGATAGGACCATGCTTTATTTAGGCACAGGAGACATTTTCAGGATTCCTCTGTCCCTGTCAGCTGCTTGTAGAACAGGAGCAAAGAACTCAGGTGTATCTTTGTCCCTCCTTTGTGATACTGCTACACATAACTTGGCATGAGAGCATGACTACTGTTCTCAAGGGCACAGAGTAGTACAAACATCCAACAAGGTGGCGTATGTTTTTAAAAAGCAAAAAATCCTGCTTATCAAGTTGTTTATTTACATAATCCTTTTCCCTCTTAAATACTGTTTCTGCAGATGTAGAATCAATAAGCAATTCTCACTCTTCAGTTATTTCACTAGGTTTAGGGACATGTTCTACTCTATTCCTCCTCGTCTGGGGTGAGGCCTCCAACTTAGTTAAGAGAGACAAGTTCCCTTTCTGGTAGTATGACTGTACAGGGAACTTTTGGTATCTTTTAAGATATCCCTGCACAGAAAATATTAAAGTTGGAATCCAGGAGGAATACAAATAAAGCCTAATTCTATTGCCTCTTAGAAATACCGGAATATGCTGCAGAAATTTTAAATCAATAGAAGATGGGTATTTATGTAGAAAATAAGAAAGATGTTCTCGGGCATTCCATGTACTCATCCAGTTTATCTTCTGTCCTTTATAGGGGAGGATGTTCAACACTATTTTGTTACGTTCCAGTGTCAGGGTGTGTGAAAGCAAACCCAAGTTTGATATGAATTTCAAATTGCCTTCCTTTTGCTTTTCCATGTTCCACCCTTCTATTCATCCTTAGGCTGACATAGCATCCCATCGTTTTGTTTGCATGGCTTTTGTGTTCTCATTGGCAGAGTAGATAATACTACTGCCTTCGCTTCTATACTCTTGTTTCCCCTATTTCCTTGTTTCCCTTTGCTAGGAAATCCTCTTCGTAATTTTTCAAAGATTTTCCCCAAAGTATCAGAAATTAGTAGCATCTGAGTTGCTAGCATTTCTAAATGTATTTGTTTTTTTCTGATCTTTATTTTTTCTCAAAAACCCATCTAATATGGTTATATGAGAAGAAGAACCCAGAGGGGGATCAGAAGAAATATTTAAAGGGCTTGGGGGTGTCGTATCTTCATTTGAAAGAGATGCAAATCTATTGGAAGTTTTTATAGTAAGAACGTCCTCTATCTTACTCTGTTTGGAAGGGGGTAGGTTGTCATTGAGGGCTCACAACCTTTTCTTTCCCATTGTTAATCTCAATCTAATAAATTTTAATCAATTTCACTAGACAGATGGCTGAAATCAATTTAATAGAGGTTTTAACTCCTTCACCTAAAATTATAATAGATAAAGACCATCATATTAAAACCCACTGAGGCAATCCCTAGTGGGGAATAGAATATAAAATATACTTTAAAAAAACATAGTAATAAAATGTCAATAAAATAAATAATTCAAAAATACTACAAAATTATCCCTGCCAAAAAGGATAAAGATAAAATGAACAAATGAGTAAATAAAACAGAGAGGAGGGGATGAAATAGTGTCTCGTTCTCCCCCCACTGCAGCCAAGGTAAGACTTGGCAACCCTAGATAGAAGTAATAATAATAATAATAGTTTGAAAAACTGTGATACCTGCAACACCTTCCAGCTCGTTTATTTAAGGCCCTAAGTTCCATCCCTCCTCCTAAAATTGAGACGGGAGGGAGCTATAAGCAAAATAAAAATGAATACAAAAGCATTGGAGCTAAAACCAAAGCTGAATAAAATAAAATAAAACAGAAACAAAGTTACTACCTCTTGGCGGAGCACAGCCCACAAGCATCTTTTCTCTCTCAGCTGGAAACCAGGTCGCCCTATCTGGAAAGTTAATGTCCAAGCTCATCAACCTTTCATAAGTCTTCCTCAGAGTGTTTTCTTAAACAATGCAGTATTTATATCTAAAACAAACAGTTCAAAATCAATTAAATGCTAACTGATCGATATATCTTCCACCATCTTCTGTTGTAGTCCCATGCACCAATGCAGATTTTTTTCCCCTAAAGAGACACTGGCTCTACTCAGCTAAATCTGAAGTTTTCGTCCAGCCTAAGGGACTTTCCTCTACCCAAACAAGCTCTCCAGGAAACTTCCATCAGAGGAAGACTCCGTATGCCAGAGGAGGGCTTCAGACCACACTGAGCAGAGTGGCAAATATAAGCCATTTTAGATTCTCTCACAACACACTACATGCCCATTACCCTAATATTTGAAACATGTTTCTTGATAGCTAAACTTCTTTTCCTGCAAGTCATCTCTTTTGCCCCATATCCTATTGCCCTAGCACCTTTCACCAGTGGGTAACTTCTCTCTGTTGTTGTTTTTCAGTTCATTTATATGGATTCACATCCTCTTTTAATTTCTTCATCTTTTGTTAACTGCATTAACAAAAAGCAGACCAAGGTGTACTTAAAGAATTCTGCAGGTAACTCTGCTCTTGCTTCTCTGGTTCCGTTTTCCTGATAATGCATTCAGTTTTTATACTTTACTTGCTTTCTGTATTCCTGTCTCACAGATGTCTCTTAAATGATGATTCACTTTTTTAGCAACACCAAGATCTGTTAGGGGAATAGACAGGGATTAGCAAAGTTCCAGAAGGAAAGAGTTGAAATTGGCACCAAAATATATCGTTATACTTATTTTACACTTAGATTTTTAGAGAGAAAAAATACAAGAAAACTTGGTTTGAAGCTCGAGATTTTTGCAGAGAAATTGGAGGAGACCTGGCTTCCATCCATAGTGATGAAGAACAAAGAAAAATAACGGAATTGTGAGTGTCATAACATATCCTTTCTATCTCAGGGTCCAAAATAATTTCAACTGTTTTAGGAAGGCATCTGATGTGTGCACAGGCTGAAACATGTGTAAGCCTATTATGTCACAATAGACACTGCTGGTGAGTGCTGAAGGTCTGATGAGACATGACAGCAGGACATTATGAATGGATTTTGTTATGTCTTTTAAGCATAAAAAGGAGCAGTGGATAGACCATTGATTAACATCAGGGCTGTGGTTCATAATTTTTATGATCTCATTTTGTGGAGCTGGCCTTTGCCCTGTGGGAGGGAAACATACAGCCACTGTGGGCTATGTTCTCCAATTGCATTTCTATGCTTGAAGCAATAGACAATGAATGCATATATTTAACTATGGGGATCCCGGTGATGGGAGCAGGGGAAGGTATGGCGGTGGGAGAAGGTATTGGAGTGGAAAGAGATGGAGATGTTTGGTTGCCTTCCAACCTTCGTCCCATCATGAGACATGTGGGTGTGATGGCTAGGGATACTCACCCCCCCCCCTTCAGCACAACACACTGCTGCTGTGCAATGCCAGGTCCATTAATAATAAGTCCTCGACACTGTGGGATTTTACTGCAGCACAAGAAAGGAACCTGGCATGCGTGACCAAGACCTGGACAAGGGAAGGTGAAACAGTTGCCTTGAAAGAGCTGCCCCGTTCAGGTTTCTCTGTCCTTCAGTCTCAAACAGTGGGGCAGAGGGGGTGGGGTAGTGATACTTATCCAACAGTTTTTCCTTCAGGGTGCTCCCCATCCTGATGACTACTGACATTGATTTTGTATGCCAGGTCTGGGACTCTGAGGTGAGTCTGGCTGTTTGTTTGTTCGCCTAGCACACCAGCAGACAGCCTTCCAAGCCTGCTTGAGGCTGTAGCTGGCTGGGCCTTGGAATCCCCCAAGCTTGTAATCCTTGGGGACTTCAACATCCATGACGATTTTGCCTCCTCAAAGCAGGCTGTGGACCTGGTGTCATTCATGGCAGCACCAGGGTTCACCCAGATTGTAACAGGGCCCACACACCAAGCAGGCCACATGGTGGATTTAATTTGCAGCATGGGGGTAGATATTGATCTGATGGCCAAGACGTTGGTGCCATGGTCAGATCATTGCACCCTGAAGGTTCAGTGGGGGTTCCCCCCTCCATCTATGCAGCGAGCAGATTTATGCTTGCTTGCAAAGACTAATGGACTCAATTGGGTTCCAGAATGCTCTGCAGGAACCACTGCCCTCTGATGATTCATTAGATGAGCCGATATAAGACTGGAACTCCCGTATCTCTGAAGCCATCATGGGCGAGTCAATTAAAGAAACAAAGTTGAAAGAACTAATGAGCAAAGGGAGATGTTCCAAAGTGTGTGCCTTGAACTTTGTTAAAGGAGTAACAAGCAGAAGATGTCACAGAAGTCTTAAGTCATGACTCTTGGCATCAAATAAAAAGGGTCAACCTAGTGTGTTTTACAAATTATAAGCTTTAATTTAAACAAAAAAGGCTTTAAAATATTCTGTAAAATTCCCTGATGAACCAAAGTGAAAACAGATGTATAGATTCAGCACACCTACAAGAGCTTTATGCCACAGGCTATTTTAAAACTAAAATAATTCATGTAAAGAGTTTAATTTTTTTGAATGTCACTGTAATGACATATGCTTTCATGTGATGTTTACCTTTTAGTGAAAATAAGTTTATAAAATGCTCTAAGACCTTTATATGCCTGTATAAATGTAAAGGAACCAATTTTGTAACAGAACTGATAGAATTTTGTACTGGAGAGTTCATTCAGTCTGGGAGAAGTCTGGGAGTCTTGCCAAAAGGAGTAAACAAAACTATCAATCAAAATATAGGGGAATTTCACATTACCCAGTTTCTTCCGGTTTCAAGCCGGTATCCTTCCGTTTTGAGTTGAACCAGTACAGGGCTGCCGTTTCACACACGGCTTGCCCCTACCGGAAATGAGCTGATTCAGAAGCGGTTTGGCATTTCACACACGCACCGCTTTGTTTCCCCGCTGTTTTCTTCCCGTGCGGGCGATCGTTGTTTTTTTTTAAGTTTGACTTATAGCGATATATCGATATAACGCTATATCAGAACTCCAAACGATCGCAAGACATTCTAATGGGATCGCTATTGCGATCGTTTGGAGTCCTGGTATAGCGTTACATCGATATATCGCTATAAGTCGAATGTTTTTTTTAAAAAAGCCCGCACGGCCGAAAAAAGGTGGGAAAGAAGTGTATCGGAACCGGGAGAGGGAACGGGAGACTACTCGGAAGCAGTTTACAGGTAAAACGCTTCCCTCCCGGTTCCTAACCGGAACAGAGGCTTTGCTGTGTGAAATGCCACTTACATCCCGGTAGGGAACCGATTCCCAACCGGGTTCTGTCTGAAATGACAGACCAGAACCCGGTTGAGAATCGGTTCCCTACCGGGAGATAGCGCCTGTCTGAAATTCCCCATAATGAGTATAAGGAGTGCTGCACCTGTATTGTGGGAGTTGAGACGCAGCCAACTAACATCCTGTGTGTTAAATATGTGATTGATGACTGGCCAGACAAAGAAAACTGAACTGAGCATGTCTAAGTGATGTCAGTTATGATGTAAAGTGAGGAGGAGCAAGAAGAGAATATAAGCAAGTTTCTGGCTGTAGCAAATCGAACATCCATGCTGAATTTAAGCTGTGAGGTGCTCCGTATTCGAATAAATTATTTTGTTACCCTTTACTGCTTGGATTATTGTTTTAACTGTGTGGTTTATTGTCTAGCCACACAAGTCAAAGAACCTTAGCGCCCTCGGGGCGTTGGCAGCAAGATGAAACAGGGCAGCTCTGTACTAGGGTGTTGATCTCAGGCAGTCAATGAAGAATTCAGCTGTCAGCTATTCCTGTTCTTTGCCCTTCCCAGACTCTTCAGCTCTTCTTAGCCACCACTGCTCTCCCAGGGAGGAGAGTTCAATTCTTTCCAACCAGCAGTTTCAGCTTTGTGTCCTTTCTGGATCCAAAGCCTAGAAACATTCTTTGCCTTTCAAAGAACACTACCTTCAGCGCACCTCAATAATAATCCCTTGTTCTTTCAGCTAGCCCTGTCCTGCTTTATACCATCTCTCCTTGTCATGGTGGCTGTTTCGAAAGCATGCCCCATGAGCCTTTGCTAAACATGCAAATTAGTACAAGCCTGTGTATACATCAGCTATCTGCTGTCTGAGTATCTACAGTCTACTAATTAGACCTTGGCCCCAAACCCTTTTTCCAATACAGGGTTACATTCTTCTTCCCCTCAAACCTTAGTTTGCCATCCCAGCAAACTGTAACTTATGAAAGTGGTATATCAAATTTAAACTGCATCCACTCATGCCCAAACCTGAGTAACAAACGTTTTCAGTAGTTCAACAGGTACATAACTGGAAACACCAGGTTTATCATGAGTCAGTATTCTGACAGGCCATATTGCTTACAATAGTATAGATGCTTAGAAACATGCTCTGCCCCAATGGTATTCTTGCTTGGCATGGCGCACCTGACCCATGAATACAATAATATAACAAGATTTAAGAGACTCCTACTGATGATGATACATAGATGTATAGAATCACAGAGATGGAAAGGGCCATACATGTCATTTAGTCCAACCCCTGCTCAATACAGGATCAGCTTAGAGCACCCCTGACAAGTGTTTGTCCAGCCACTGCTTAAAGGCTGCCAGTGACGGGGAGCTCACAACCTTTCAAGGCAGCTGATTCCACTGCTGAAAAACTCTTACTGTAAAATAGTTTTTCCTAATATCCTTCCCACCCTTAATTTAAACCCATTATTGCGAGTCCAATCCTCTGCTGCCAACAGGAACAGCTGCCAACCTCAGCCTCCTCTCCTCCAGACTGAACATTCCCAAGTCCCTCAGCCTTTCCTCGTAGGGCTTAATGTCCATGCCCCCGATCATCTTCGTCACTCTCCTTTGCATACGCCCCATTACTTTCACATCCTTCTTGAAGTGAAGCCTCCAGAACTGCACACAATACTCCAGGTGTGGCCTGACGAATCCAGCTCTGTACCTGCTCCTTCCTCAGCCCAGCTGACTCACTTTTAATATTTTTTCTAGAGCAATTCAAGCAAATCATGTTGTGTATTGTTAAAATTTATTTAAAACATTAATATTTTAAATATTTCAAAAATTCCAATTTTGAGTGTCATGAAATGTTTTCATATTCACTGGCTTCTACATAACATTTTGTTGAATTTTAGGACTGAAGATTTGACCTGGATTGGTTTAAATTCTTTGGACTCTGACATAGGGAATACTTGGAGTGATGGATCTCCTGTAAGTAAATTATTATCATATTAATCTCACCAAAACTGTGCAACCTTCAGAATCCATTTTTAAAGAATATTGAGGATAATATTTTCTTCCATGAATTCAAGACCACCTAATATAGGTCATTTAACCTGTTTGGTTAGACATGACAGTCCAAGTTCTTCTACACACATTTTAGCGTGGGTGCACAACATTCATGAATTCCATTGTACAACAGATCATACAAATCTATCGTTTCTAGTAAACATTACAAAAATTAATGAACCTTTATTTTTGTTATAGGTTGACTTTGACAGATTGTATCCATGGATCAATGATGAAAGACAAGTGTGTGCAAGAGTTCATGGTCGTTTTTCATTCTGGACGATGACATCATGTAGCAGTTTATATCATTGGGCTTGCCAAGTGAAGAGAGGTCCGATCGCTCCTAATTTGCAACTGGTTGATTAAGCAAAACCCCGAAGTCATTTGCTTCATTTTATTTGTGACACTGCTTCTCAACCTTGTTTTACTTTATCATTATTATTATGGGGTTTGAGGCACAGCCACGTATTCCCCAAAACTGATTTTTGCCTGACTATTGGGTGCCAGATAAGGGCCTTTTCTTATGATATCTGCCCCTTCTGTTTTCAGGGACAATAGAAATACATAAGCAAAGACCAGAAATTGATTTTTCTGTAAAAAGGCACTGGAATGTCAAAAACAATCACTGCACTTAACCTCCATTAGGAACATGACAGAAATTAAATAATTTGATTTCATATTTGTGCATACACACACATTATGCCTTTATCTGACTGCAAGAACTATAGTAATCTAAAGACATAGTGAATTAGATTGCTGATTATTCTTTTGCATGCTAGCATTATTTGCTCAGAAGGAATCTAGAAATACAATAGGCTTGAAAGAATGATTTACTACTACTACTACTACTACTAATACT